GCCCAGTACTCACTCCTTTGTTGATAGGTGTATCTCACGTACTATCTACTAACCAGAGAATGCAGAAGGAGACAGAGAATTTACGACTTGGCTGCTTCTGGCCATGAACATTGTTCAAAACTAGAGACATATACATACACATACACTGGGAACCACCATTTTCCTGCTTAATCGTTTCCCAGGACATAGTTCTGCAGAAGACAAGGAGTAGGCCAGTACGCAAATACATAGGACTGGTAATCTCAGAAGGCACATGCCAAGTTCACACACTGGGGCAAGTCACTTCCCTTCTCCAAACCCCAGGCTCTTCAGTCATAAGAGTCACACCATCACCTTTTTGAAAATGCTGAATATCTCTGGATGAAGCAGCACTATATGAAAATGCTAAAATTCCCTATGGATGAATTTTTTTTCTCTACAACACCTGAAATTTTGTGTATCCATGTCTTATGCAGGGATACTGACAGAACCACTACAAAACCTGGGATAGTTTAGGTTCAGCTTCCCCAGCTTATCTTTTCTCTTGCATTTGAACAAGTTAAAACACTGGGATTCGATGACCTTGAAAACTAGGTAATTTGGGATATTAATTTTAGAATTCAGGCTGTCACTGCTGAAAAGAGGACAAAAGCAGGGAAGCTCTGTGTGCCACACTGACCCGCTGTTGCTCAGAGAAGAGCATGTGATACCTGCTTTGTAAGGTAGCAGGAAAAAAAAAAGAAAAATCTTTTGGCACAAAGTAAGACAGGATTTCAGCTTCTGAAGTTAGTTAATACCTAACTGTCCTCTCCAGCTCCTTCTTGATCTTTCCTCTTAATCCTCCTCTCTCCATCCATGTGCAAATGCTGTTCCACCTTTTCCTGGAAACCTCAACTGCAAAGGTTTGAAGAAGCACGGATGCTGTAGGAGATTCATGCAGAAAGAAACTTTAAAGAAAGTCTACAGCACATCACTGGGGAGGAAGCCTGTTTCTAGGTGGCTAATTAACTTCTGCTTAAGAACTAGTTAAGGAAGAAGAAAGACCAGATGAAGAATGGTATGGCACAGCACCAAGTATACTCCTAAGGCTTTACTGAGCTCCGTAACACAAAAAAAAGGCATATGAATCTCTAGCATGGTATTCCCAAGCTCTCCTTTATTTATATTGACTAGAGCTAATGTTTTTACAGTGCTAGAGCTATGCCCCACAGGTTAAAATATGACTCAACTGTGGCATACAGTGGCCTTATGCCATACAGAAAGTAATTTATAATCTATCTGAAGTCATTTCATCAACCCTTGGGACAATGGCTAACAAGACTGGGAAGGTGGTTTATTAGACCCTATTTCTATTAGGTCAAAGTCTGAGAAACTGCTTATTTCTCAGTGTGATGATGTTTCACAGCCTTATTTGCAAACCCTGCGTGAGATGTAAATTGCCTGATTTTACCCCTTATATAGAACATGCATTTGGTTTATTCCCTTTCCACTAGTAAGTCAGGCGATTTGGAGAGCAGGCCTTGTTTTTTGTCTTGCCAGGACCCCTAAAAACAGTCATCATCTTTATTCTTTATGCTAAATCAGTGACAAGGCACTGTTTCCCACACAAATCGAACCACTGCCTAGAAGGACTTTCTATTCTACCCTAAAAGAAGAGGAGGAAAGAAGACTTTAGCCTTTATTAAAATTGCTGTGTTATTCAGCATTCCCCAGTTAACATACTGGCCACTGATCTAGAACTAGAAGAGAGAGCAGATGCCAAGATATCACACCTCAATTAGCACTTAAAATCACTGCTAGAACAACAGAGCTGCCCAATACTAGTCTAGCCTATGACAAAACATCTGAAAGGTGCCAACCAAGATGCAGACCCTAACCTCTTCTGTTGCTGGCTCTCATCACTTTCAAGATCTTAGAGCAGCAAACCAGATCCTGTGTTTTATCAAGGTTCTCACTGCTTTCCTTGCTCCCTGACAAACTGCCTGTGTGACACATCTCTCAGCCAGCACGTTTATCTTGATACATTATTGAGAGAGACATCTGATTAATGAGCAGATTCTCCTCCTTGTTGTTTTCATGAGAAAGCAGCACAATGGTGCCATAGATTTTTAATTCTTCAAACCACTCTGGCCTTGGCAGCCTGATGAGAAGTCAGCAGAGGACAGTCAGGGCTTATAGTTTTGTCTAGATTTGTTTTGTTTTTAAGAAACATTTGGTTCTTCATGTGCAGAGGTTAAGTCCAGTGTGTGAACTTCTCTCTCAAGACAGTGCATACATGAAGCCGGGACAGATGCCCAAGCATAGGTTTCCCTCCCAGGGAATAGCTACACTTGGTCAGTAACATACCATGCCTGCAGATCAGTGAGACTTGAGTGTTGAAGCAAGTCACGCCCTCTCAGCTTACCCACATCCTTCAAGTACTTCTCATTCAGACAAATCCGTGTGGCCCCTGAAACATCTGGATTAGAACATGGGCTTTCCTGTGATCTAACTATACAGAAAGGCAGCTATAAAGAAAGGATAAGCACTGACAGTACTAAGAGTTATCATCTGAAGAAGGTGTAAAAAAAAAACTTGACAACTGTGTTCATTTTGGGTCTTACTCCAAGTTACACAGAAGAGCAAAAACCTTATTTCAGACAGTAAGGCATGGGCATTATTCTCCTCAGTGCTGGGCCTGTTTCCTTTAGACATACAGCTGCAATAAGCCAGCCATGTTGAGTTTCATTAAAACTTACGAATATTTTAGCAGTTCTGGGAGCTATAGATCTTAACTTGGCAAGATATTTAGCTCCACCTTAAAATGAAAAATAGCTTTAAAAAGCCAGAGCAGCATTTCATTTCTTAAATATGTAATTCAGCAGGCACAAAACTCCAAGTATAAAGCAACCAAAGGTGATTTAAATTAAAATAATCTACAAATGACCTAAAAGACAAATGAATATGTGAGGGGAAAGGCTTAGTTATTAAGATACCAGGCTGGAAAGGAGATCTATGTACTTGCCTTCAAGGAGGGTGACCTTGATTAAGCAGCAGTGACTCAGTCTATTCAGCCACGAAATGGGGAGAATATAGTCCAAGCTCCTAAAAACCCTATAAAAGTATTAAGATTTTCCAACAGTGATTCAAGACACGGGTGTTAAAAGCAATTGACTGAACAAAAGTACATCTCCAAGTGAGCAGACACTGCATTCTTTTTCCTCACCAGTGTACTACCCATGAGGCACAGCTTGCCCACACTCAAAAGCTCAGCCCTCAGCATCTGACCAGAATAAGCTTATTAAGCCATCAGCAGAGGCTTTAAAAATTCAAAATAGAGCTGACTGGCTTTCTTCAAATTGTTTCTGCCATTACCTGCCTGGGCCAGAAGCATCTGTCCAGACATAATCTGCACATTAGAAATTCATCTGCAGCCATTTGTCTTCCAAGTCTCCTTACATCAGAGGAGACCCAGTAAGGTACAACCAGACAAATACTAAAAAATCTTGCAAACACAGCTAACATGAATTCCTGTAGATACAAAAAATTAGGTAGTTTTTTTTAAGTACGTATTTGGAAAGTTTCCTTTTTCCCTTGTCCTAAAGATTTTTGACCCACTGGCTGCAGGGGGGAAAAACTCCCCAAAAAAATCTTAGCTGTCATGACTGTAAAAGAAATCCTCTGAAATAAGAAAGATGTGCTGAGCAATGCAGTGACCTGAGCCAGTGCAACCCCCTATAAACGCAGGAGGGAAACCACTCCTTCCTTTTCCAGTAATAATACAGTCTGATGCATAAAACATTTTGCCACTCGATTAAAAGTGGACCTAGTGTTCTGGCTCAACCTCGTAGAACAGCAGAGAAGCAGCAATACCAGAGTCTGGAATGCTACTTCTCTCACTGGGAATGCGTTTTTTTTGACTGTGGAACAAGGTCGAAAGTATCAGGACAATCCTCGTGCTCTACAGCGGCCCTTGCTGTCTGCCTGGCAGAGGATCTCTCAGCCCAGGGCACAGGTTCCGCAGGGTGCTGCAGCAGTGATGGAAGAGCAATGCTGCCATCTGCAGACAATCAGAATTACAGCCTCCCCCTAGACAGGCACTGGACATAAAGGTGTTCAATGCTGCATGAATTCCAAATATCTAAACATTTTCTATTAGAGGTCATTTCTTAAAATGAGTTTAAACTGACTACTAATAAACTCTGCCTGCTACCAGGACAAAGCATTAGACTGTGTTTTAAGAACAATTACAGTAGTAACAAAACACTCAATGTGCTCTCTAGCTAAAGGATACTCAGACGACTGGTTTCCGCAGATACAGAAAAACAGCTTTATCAAATTTCTTTGGGAGGATCCTTGAGTACAGCCCATGTGTATCTAGATGCCGTGTTATTCTGCATTTTATCCTCTAAAATTATCTCCAAATGCTATGACCACTTTGTGGCCCACTCTGCACCTCAGAAAGGCTGAAAAATATTTCCCAGGCCTAGCTGTCTTAAAACCACAGAATGTCTTGCAAACCCAACAGGAAATCACTTCAAAGCAGACAATGATAGTGAGATAGTGTTGTGGGTGAAAACATTAGCTCCACAATGGTTTACAATCACTAAATTTTACTGCTGGAACTTCTTCCATTCTCTCCTACTCAGATTTTGAACTAGAAGTAAAACCTGAAATCATCACATTTTACAAATCCCTCACATGTCAAGCCTTCTTTGTATCATTTTTCAGCTATGTTCATCAGAGACAACAGAGGTGGGACAGCCAAGAGGTCTCTCTAGACTGTTCAAACCACTTTAACCACATATAAAATAGAGCCAGAAAGCATGTAAGACTTCTTAGTCTCCTTAAGCTAATTGTACACACGTTTGTATAGTGGACTGCACCAGTGGCCAAGATGGGAAAATTTCAAACCATGCTTTAGGCTCATTTATAACACGCACAGGGGAGGCGTTACGCTGTCACAGTCCTAGGGAGCAAATAAAATCATTACAAGTCAGGAGCAGAGACCATGGCACTGGAAGAATGGCAGACCACACAGGTGAGGAAGAAAAAGTCCATCTTTATTAAAAAGATTAAAAGTTCAGCTGAAACCTCCTTACAAATGCTGAACGGTACATGGCACAGAAAACTGCATCAAAGAAAATTCTGCTCACGGATAAAAAGACTGAAGTCTGCCATTAGTATGAGATGATCACTGCTACTGAACTTTTTACCCAATGATTTGCAAGGACAGGACTCTGTGATTCATAAAGGGACTCCTGCACAAAAAAAAAAAGTACAATCTCTCATGCACTTATACTAAAAACATGGCAGACAAAGGCCCTCCTTCTTCCAGGAAGATGCTCTAACACATGTGCAAAATTACAATTGGAGTGATATAAAATTATCAAACACAGCATAATTAACAGAATAACATTCAGACACTTTATCAGATAAGAAGAAAGGCCCGGAGGTGCTTTAGGAAACACTAACAGATGGGCTACAGGTCTGTTCATCTACTAATGTAGACTCATCACATCGCAACACAGCTCCTCAAGACAGACCTGAAAGAAGCTTAAAAAGTTTATATTCAGGGAAATTACCATGGGACAGGGCGGAGAGGGGTAGGGAAGGAGACTGGCATCCTCATCACAAAACAAACCAATAAAGGAGTCTCTCTTACCACTCAGTGTCTATGTGGAAATTATCTTGGTCTACTTACATTGGTTAAGTCACCTGTTAGGTTAGTTCATACCTAAAATGTTTTCTAGTACTAACATGCTTTTTGGAAAACACAGAGATAAAGCATTTTCTACTTTCAAAGCTCTCTATGATAATGATGTTGGCTCGGCATCCCTGTGAGGTAGGCAAAAATTAGCTATTTTCTGAGAGACAGAGCAGTTAAATGACTTCCTCAAAGCCATAGTGAATAATGTGTTATTTATTATTAATATTCTTAAAAACCTGGAATGATACTGTTTTTCACAGACAGTGAATTGGAGGCAACCAACATCTGCTAACAAGGAATTACTGAATTTTCATCTCATTCTTACTATTAAAATGCTCTGAATCCCCCCCACCTTGAAAAGTGTTCTACAAACATATACATCTACTAGTGAGGTTTTCCTTCATCTCTGTAACAAAAAGCACCGGTCCTTTACAGCAGTCAGCAGACATCCTACACAGGGGGCTTTTCCCTGCTAACAAAGGGTACCCTAGATACGACTACAGTTACATATACTACTCCACCAATTATCGTATCCTAGATCTTTTCACTATTACAATTACAGATATCAGAGACATGAGCCAAGTATTAGTTACTTTAAGGAATTTAGCTTGAGTACTCTCGTTTATGTAAAAGGAGTAGAAAAAGATAACTACCCATTCTTTTAAACTGATAGCTATACAAAAACAAGCTATCATAAAATAAAGCACACAGCTGCTACTAAGGGTAGCAACAAAGCCACGCTGGGATTAACCTAATAAATCCACATATCCCCAGTTACAAGGTTAACAGATTCACCAGCTCAGTTCATATCCCTAGAAGTGAAGTGAGTCTTGGAGCCAGGCTCTTTACTTTGTAGGTCCACAAAGAATTAACAGTGGATACTGTGTTGTGTATGTCGATATTGAAAACAGTTTCCAAAACCTTCTGGATATAACTCCCTCCATCCAGCTGACCTGAACTTTTGCAGTTTCTCCTCATGTTTCTAACCTAAACATGTATTTTGCTGTAGAAAGGAGCACACAGTTGCTGAAGTCCATCTCCTCTTGTCTTGTGCCTGGTCAGATTAGAGAGATCATTCGCCCAATTTTAATAGAAGATGAAACTGTGCCTCGTAAAATACACCTGCAATGAATCCTTCCCTTTGATTAGAGCATAGCTGTAAAGCAGGAGACTAACAGCTGGGTAACAACGGCTAACATAAAGCCATAAAAACAGTCACTGAAATAGCTGTGCAATGCAATCTTGTACCATCAACTCAGCTTTACTACTGTCAGTACAGTCCACTAATATAACACTCAGCACTTTCAGCTCAACACCACAGAGCCATAACTTACCTATGACGGAGGCAGGACAACACCGTGCTAGTTTATTGCTAGTTTATTGCTCATGTTTAAAAGCCCTTCATATAGTGACTAGCACACTCGCATTTGCTTCAAAAACAAGGTTGTTTTCCAAGCTCCATCAGCTCTAGTTCAACACCAGTATCAATACCTCTGAAGCTTTCCACAACGCCTGTAAACAAACTTTTCACCAAAACTCTGCATACATGAAACGAATACTTTTTCTTTAACACAGAAGAGAATTCAGTTGCCACTGAGCAACATAGCATTGATCAAATTCATATTTGCACTGGAAGTCACACTTTTCCCCAGTTGTGTTTGGCATGTTTTCCACACTGTTACATAACTGCCGAAACAGCTCTCCAAATGGCCACATGTATATCAAGTGGCAAGATCTGCAGGAGAAAACAAAACACCTTAAGGTGTAGGAGGGGAAAAAAGAGGTGGGGAACTTCATTTCAGAGCTAACTTCACATTTAAATGTGATTCAGCCACACAAACTCTGGACTCTACTAGGAGGTATCTTATTAATAAAAACGGTTTCTTCCTGTTTCCAGTTCTAATTTTTATGCAGATCCAATGCAGAGATCCTGATTATTTTTTTCCCCCCTGACCCTGTATCTTTCTCCTTTACTCAACTGGGCTTCTTCTGGGGCTTCTTATTGTAAGACATTTGACTATAATACTCCAGACCTCTAAATAAACACAGGAGAACAATTGAAAAAATAATTTTTTTACAACTAAGAATTTGTTCTTCCACTCATGTATCCATTTATCCATATCCAACCAGAGAAACCTGGAAATCCATCTGTCAGCTCCCCCTTAACTCCAAGACTGTACTTTCAGAGAGTAAATACTAAGGAAATGCAGAAATGGAAACCACTTGGTTTTCTATGCATTGAGAGCTTTTCAGTTGCATGATTTGCCTTTACAGCTTCAGCTTTCATAACAGAATATAAATTTACTGGGTTTGGCTTAAAGTTTGTGCAGTGGGCTAGTCATACTCCATTTAGCACCAACATCCCACAGAGATACATAACCTTGAAATTTCTAGACTAGAAGGACCAAACAGAAGCAACAGTTAATGAATTAGTATCTAGTGCATTTCAGGAGGCTTGGAAATAATGGCTTAAAAGTTGGCTAGGGAAAAAAAAACCAACAAAACCCAAAACATACAACAGAAGAACTATGCTCACAAGGGAGTGAAGCAATAGCATCTACATCATTGTGATGCTAAGCATTTGGCAGTGTTTTCTGTTTACCACACAGGAGCTACTGGACTCCTTGGCCATGGTAAGAAAAGGAGTCATAAGAGCAACCACTGTGCTTGTGAAGGCAACAGAGAGTTTGTATTTGAGGCTCAATCTTACTTTCATTGAGTTGACAGTGAAAGAATTAGGTGGCAGAAGGATGAGGTTCTTTAAATGTTTCCTTGTCCTCACGTCGCCTTGCTCCCCCGAAGAAAAATTGCACAGTTCACCCCTTCCACAGAACTGACCAGTGACTTTTTTAAAGCCTGTTGTACAAGCTAACCAAGCCAGAAATTACAAAATTTACAGACAACCAACAGCTCAAGATGGTCTCTCCATTCTTCCCACCGTCCATAATGGGTCATCTATCCACATCATCCACTGTTAATCAGCATTGATACTGAACTGTGAGGCCTGACCCTACAGCTCTTGCTACAGCTTGGGCAGAGCACCGGCTGGTGCTAGTGTAATACCAAAAACATAGAAAAGCCCCAAGAGGAGATTGAGTTTGGCTGTCCGCTGAGGAATTTTGTTGAAGCTGTGACTCCGAAACTGCCTCTCCAGTGAAAATGCCATCGGGATGGTGAGTAGTGGCAATGCCATGCTGATGGTATAGTGTGTGGCCAGCACACAAAAAATCAGGTAGGGCAAGAAGAGCAGCAAAGTGTAGAGAATATAGGAGAACGCGGGGCCGATGAGGATAGCCAAGGTGACAATACCCGCCTGCCGGTCAGACTCCATGTCTCGTGTGTTGTTGCTGTGCAGGATGGCCTCAGTACTGAGAGCTAGGGGGATAGCGTAGAGCAGTGGTGAGACAGACAGATAACCGACCTGCACAGCATGGGCAAACATGACAGCCAGGGGCCCAAAGGTGATCAGGATCACCACGTCTCCAAGTGCAACATATTTAAATCCAATTCCTGTGGCAAGACACAAGAATAAAATGAAGCATCATCAAACAACTCAAACAAAATAAGAGAATGGATAAAATAACAGATCAGCCCTTCCACAGAAATGTTGTAAAATGACCAATGCATGTGTGGTTATGGCCAAGCAGCATATTTTCTCTCTTTTCCAAAGATAATAAAGGAAATGCAGCTTCTGAATTTCTTCAAACAGAAACTAAGGGCCAGGTTCTAACACCCACCTTCACATCCAGAAGTACCTATTTCTGCAGAAATCTACAGAAAGAAGGTACTCTTTAGTGTGATCATGCATACTAGAATCTGATCATGGAGAAATATATAAAATGCTCAGAACAAAATGCAAAACTGACAAGATTCTTTCAAGAAAACTATAACTGTTTGAAAGTTTCACGGTTGGAAATCAAGTTTTTTTTTCTTTTCCTAATAATTATGTTTCCACCCAATACAGGAAAACACTAAAAATACCCTCCCTCTTATTAAAAGCAAACATAAACTGTTCTACTTTCACAATGAAACTCCACCTATAGAATAACAACAAAATCTTCCAAAACAAAGTAACAGATTCTAGCAATGGAAAAAAAAATATGCAGTGAGCTATACTGCTGAGGGATACAAAATACACATCATGAAAATTTTCAGCAATAGTTCTGATGAACATCTAAATCCATATATGTAAATAGCCACATCTCAACACCACCTTCCAACAGAACTTAGTCTGCCTCTTCCCACAAGACAATGGCAAACACAAATTTATGTACCAGTACTCCAGGAAATACTACCAAGTATTTTTATGGTGGTTAACTAAATAAACGACTTGTCTTCTAGAAGCCCTTGACAAATCAGAGATTTGTCAAGTTTACATTCAGATTCACAGCAAACGAAATACAGCGCTTACCTCCGGTATAAAGGAAGGAGCTGGAAAGTCCTCCAAAGTAAATCAGGGCCAAGTGCTCCAGCTTGAGTGTTGAGACAGCGTAGAGCCCAGCTGCACAGATGCAGCCCACAGTATAAAGGAAGACTCCAAACCGGACTACGTCCTGAGGCTCCAAAATCTGGTCCACCAAAGTCCTGTCATCGCTCTTCTTGTGATCGATGCCTTTGGAGAAGTCGTAGTAGGTATTCACCAAGTTGCCGGCTCCGTGTACAGCCAGGACGGCCACGGCGCTCCCCACCAAGAGCCGCGGGTCCAGCGCTCCCTCGGCCCGGTACGCCAGAGCGCTGCCGAGGGCCACGGGGGTGAGGGAAGCGCTGAAACTCCAAGGTCGAAGCGCCAGCACATAAGCCGCACACTTCTGCCTCCAGGTGCTGGGGGGGACCCTTTCAGCGCCCGCTAGCACAGCGCCGGAATCGTTCCTCTCGCTCCCCCGGGAGCTCTCGGCGCTGATGCTGATCTTCTGCGCCAGCTCTCCCGGCCCCATGCTCTCCCGCCTCACAGCAGCGCCTAGAAGGGGAAGGGCCGCGCGTTAGTCCAGGGGCGAGGGGACACAGACACGGGCATGGGCACCGCCATGGCCGCGCCTGAGGGGGGGGCGCGCGCCGCCCTTACCCGCGCGCCCCAACCACCGGCCCGCCGCCCGCTCGCGCCCAACGGCGGCTCCCGCCCCGCCCCGCCGCGGCCTCACGCGGCGAGTTCCGCGGACGAGCGACCAGACAGCACCTCCCCAGCGCCCGGTGTAAACACTAAGCGACCCACGTCGCCACACGCGGCGGCAAGGGGAGTCGGTTTGAAGCACACACCCAACGCTGTTATATGCGCCGTTACGGTAACGGAGCGCCAACAAGCGGGTACCGCCCCAGCTTGCCCTTGGTCTCGTGGACAGCCGGACACATTTCAGTGACACACACCACCCCCTTCCCCTCCCCTCCCGTGCATGCGCGTAGAGCACACAGGCTTTGCGGGAGGGCGGAAGCTATCCGGCTTCTGGAAGGTGGGCCTAGCGCGGAGTTTTCACCAATTGAGCACGCCTAGCCATTCTATTGGTCAGATTTACTGCCACTCTCTCCCGGATGGCTTGATGATTGTCTGAGAGGACGGTCTCTCCTTGCGGTTCCTTAGGAGAAGGGGCGGAGCTGCGAGCGCTCCTTCCCTTTTGCTCTTTTTCTACTCGCCGGAGGCGGTGCCTATCAAAGCCTTTCTGGGAGGCGATTGGCTAGCAGCCGCTCGCCGGCCCGGCAGGCGCGGGGGAGGGGAGGGCTCGGGGCCCGGAGCGGGGGAGCCGCCGGCGGCCGGGGCGGAGGTGGTGAGTGCGGCCGCGGAGCCTCCCCTCAGCATCGCCTTCCCCTTCCCCTCACCTCCCACTGCGGCGCTCCCCGCTCGTCCTCGCCGGACGGGCGCCCTGTCAGCATTACTGACGCTCCCGCGGGCGGCTCGGCCGGACCGGCCTCCCCTATCCCGCCCCCGCCCCGCCACAGCCGTGTTGCCGTTAGAGGCCCCGGCGGCGCTGCCCGCGCTGCCCCGCCTCACCTCTCCCTCATTCCTCCCTCACTCCCGGCCTGCGCAGCCGGCGGGATTCCCCGCCGGCTCGGGCCTGCCGGCTGCCGCGTCTCTTCGCGGGTGCGGCTGTGAGGGAACCGCTGCGCAGGGCTCCGCGGCTGGCGGCGATGGGGCCGCGGCCCCAGGCTGCTCTTCTCGTCCGGGAGAGCTTCTCCTGTTACCCAGCCGCGGGGAAGCCCTGAAACCGCCTCACGCTGTAACCTCGCTGCGTGTTTGTGAATCGCGTGGGGAATATTTGGGGAAGAAGGAGCTGAAGTTTTGGTACCTTGTGTCGCTGTGGGCCCTTCTGTCAAGTGCTCGGTTTGGGTTTATGTAATCTGAAAATTGGGGGAGTCAAGCCTCTAAAATATTTTCTACATAAAAAAAGGCTCATGAGACAGTTTGGTTACATGTTAAGATGGTAAACATCCTGCTGCAATAATTAGCGTTGCTATAAGTAGACTTCTCATCTCGAAATATCTACTGGAGAGCGTAACACTTCCCAGGCCCTAAGCGCTGAGTCTTCCATTTGTTGGCATAACGCTAGAATTTCTGTGGAGGAACTTGAATTAAAGTGTTCAAGGAGGATTCAGATATGATAATGACAGAGTCATAGGAATGATTGTGATTACTTATTATAGGGCAGTTGTAAACCCTAATCTGACTCTGCTATTTTTTGGCTATTGCTCAACCCTTGATTTAGAATTACATCACGGTGGGGTCAGGCACCTGACCAATATTTTGGTATTTGAGGAACTAGAGAGCAAATAGGCAGGGGGTCAAGATATTATGTAGTGATACAGTTTTACCACAGGGTTGCGAGGCCTAAGGAATATAGTCATTACTTGTAATTTTATGCCCTTCTGTCACAGCGTCCTTGCATGCAATAAGATGTGTGTTTTGGAAACAGGCAGCAGGGGAAGCATTAAAAAAGAAGCTGGGAGATTTCAATAGCTGAAAGCAGTAAAAAAAGTGTCTCTCTGAAGAATTTACAGGACTTGATGCCCCTGAGCCCCAGCATACCACCATCATGTCGGGCACCGTGTCCATTCTCCAACAATTTGCCAATGGCTTGAAGAGTCGCAGTGAAGAGACAAGGGCAAAAGCTGCCAAGGACTTACAGCATTATGTCACCATGGAGCTCCGCGAAGTGAGTGTTGTAAATGAGATAATTTATCCTTGTTTATCATGTAAGTGTAGGGCATGGCCTGGGTTTTTTGGGAATGAAGATTTCTGGAATATGGAAGCTGGTTTTAGAGAGGAAGTGGGGCGTAGCAGGGAGTTTAGCTTTGCCCCAGTAAGTAGGTGGAGTAAGTTGGTGACACAGATGGGTGGTCAAGCACCAGAATAGATAAACTTGATACATCGTGGGCACAAAGAAGAAATGCTGTTTTGTGTTTGTAACATGGTTGATTTAATTTCTAAGTGACCTAAGAAGCATTGTCTTAATGGAGGTTTTGGGGGCAGGAAGGAGGGAAAGAATGCTGAAAGCTGATTTGAATTTTTTGCTTTTAAAGATGAGTCAGGAAGAATCTACCAGGTTTTATGATCAGCTGAACCATCATATATTTGAACTGGTCTCTAGCTCTGATGCCAATGAAAGGAAAGGTGGCATTCTGGCTATAGGTGAGTGAAAGTGCTTAATGCTTCTGGTGATTTTTTTCTTCATGCATCTATATTTAGGGAGAGATTTTCAAAAGAAATGAGCTTTTATAAGCAGGGCCTTGTGTCTGCTCACTACGCTGGGTGGGTGCTAGTTGCTGGGCTCTGAAAATCTGTCTGTAAGTGTCAGCATGGGAGCTGCTGAGTGCTGAGAGTGGCTGAAAACCTGGTGCTTAATGGGCCCTGAGTTCTTCCAGGAGTCAAGCATCAAATGTGAGTGCTGAGCACATGAAAATTCTGTTCTTGAGCTCAGCTGAGAACAGTTTGTGCTGTCCATTTAGATGTATGACGGTGGGCTGACTTTCTCAACTCTCTTCTGAGGAGATTGATTCTTGTTATTTAAATTTACCTGGCTCAATAACAGCAGCTTCCATCCCTGGGAGGGGTTCACATCGTTTCTGCTTTGATTCTGATCAGCTGTTCCATCAGTTGCTGTGGTTGTGCTTTTGTTGTGACATGGCAGAGCTGACTGCATTTTGGCTCTTGGGGAAATCAGCTGGCGTAAATACTTTGCCTTCCAAGTGAGTAGCCTGTATTGTAGCAGTTACTTCTTTAATAACCAAATAGGAGGTGCTTATGGTTTAGACTCACAGACACAATCATCCAATCCCAACGTGTTTGAAGGCAGCGGAATTCCCTTAGCTAGGGAAATCTTTCTTGACAACATCTGATTTTAAGCTGACAGTATCACTTTAAAATTGTTTCTGTGAATTTAGTGCTGTTGAAAGGTGCCGGCTTGACAACCCTGGACACTGATGGCCTCTTTATCTACAGAGCAGGTACAACCCAGGCACTGGCAGCAAAAGCTTCCACCACACTGCTGCCTGCCAGTTTGCCACCTCCCTGGCCGGGAGAGACCGTCTCTAGTGGTGAGGGGGAGAGCAGTTTCCTTGGTCCATTCAATCTTCGGCTTGTCTACTGAGGCAGACCAGCTGTAGTAGTTGCATGTGGATGGATGCCTTTCTATTGGGAATGGGTCTGTGATCCCAGGGTGGATTTTTTTTTCTCTTTCTAAATTAAAATGGGGAGAATCTATGAAGCTACTGGATGCATTTTCCTAACAAGTTCAAGGTTGAAAGAATGGTGGCCCTTTCCTATTGCTTGATTTTTATTTTTTTTTTCCTGTGGATCTGCAGTTTAGGAGGAGTTAATGAGAATCTTTAAGGAATGGATAGGGAATACTAACTCTCATCCAGGGATTACCTACTGTCTGCTTCACTGACTCAGGGAGAACTGACAGCATTGCTCCCTTTCTCTACAGCAAGCCTTATTGGTGTTGAAGGAGGTAACGCCACCCGTATCGGCAGGTTTGCCAACTACCTGAGGAACCTGTTGCCATCCAATGACCCTGTTGTAATGGAGATGGCCTCCAAAGCTATCGGGCGGCTTGCAATGGCTGGTGACACCTTCACAGCTGAGTATGTGGAGTTTGAGGTGAAACGAGCTCTGGAATGGCTTGGAGCTGACAGGAATGAAGGTCGAAGACATGCAGCTGTAAGTGATCTTTTTTTTGTCTTCACCTGTCTTGGAATTGGGATGGTTAGGATTAGTGAATAGTGGTAGGAGATGTGCACAGAAAGCTGCGGAAAAGCTCTGGTCAGGATCAGAATGGCTGCCAGTCCACGTCTGAGAATCTGTGATGCTCTTGTGGCAGATAGTGCCGCTTCATTGCTTCTGCTTTAGCCCAGTGACTAAAGAAGATTAAGACACCATTATGCTAGGAACTGTAAAAGTAAGGAGCTGGAAACAGCTCAAGCTCAGATACATTGACAGTCTAAATAGATGATACTACGGTCTAGAAATGATGAGGTTTGACTATGGGTGTTCATCCTTACAGACTGTTACTGTTTCTCTCCCCACCTCCAGGTTCTTGTCCTGCGTGAGCTGGCAATCAGCGTGCCTACCTTCTTCTTCCAACAAGTTCAGCCATTCTTTGACAATATATTTGTGGCTGTGTGGGATCCCAAACAGGCCATCCGAGAGGGAGCTGTTTCTGCCTTAAGAGCCTGCCTTATCCTCACCACTCAACGGGAGCCAAAAGAGATGCAGAAGCCCCAGTGGTACAGAGTAAGAAAATAATTGTTTTGAAGCAGCTCCTCATAATGCAATGCAAATGATCAAGTGCCCATTTTTAGAAGACATGTCTAAGCTAAGAACCTGTGTCACCTCTGTCAGTATGTCTGGTCAGTAGAAAACTGCCTCCCCTTGAAAGGGTTGAAAATAGAATGACTTATAAAATGAGTAGTTCCTTTTGCCCACTGTAAAAGCAAGCAAGAGATTTAACTCCATCAAGAATCCATTGCTCTATCTGCAGCTCATTTTCAGCTGTTGAGCCTGACCTAGTTTTACAGCCATGTAATCATCTATCTATTGTTATCTCTTACTAGCAGATGGTTTTATTAGTGTAGATAAAACATGAGTGAAAAAGGTAAAGATTCTTTTGTCTGAATCTTAGTTTTGTTGTCATTGTTGTGTGAATTCAAGCTTCATAATATCAAATAAGGTTTAGACAGTGCAGTCAAATGTTGTGAACTTGGTTTCCTCAATCAAATATGTGATACATATATTGATGAAGTTTATACCATGGCATGATTGACTGACTATTTGATTAGTGCTGTTGAAAATGCTCTGCAGCAGAGTCCACGACTTTTAGGTGAATCTGAATTTTGTAGTGTTATACTCCATTATTACTCAGTTGAGGTTTGTGGC